ATTAACCTGCTGCGCAAGGCGAATGCGATTTTCGTTCTGATCTAACAAAATACTACCCTACAACTTTATTAAGTGTTCCATTAAGATCTGCTGTGAGAAATTGATCAATCACAATCGAATGTGAGGAAAATAATTAACTATGATTGATTAATTTCTTAGGACTTAAGGATTACTACATATATCTTAAGGATTACTAATTATATATCTTTAGCTTATTTTCTTCAGTTTATAATAATTGACGAATTAATAACTATAAGACATACAGAGGTAAAGAAATATAAGAAATTTTATATTTTATTACTGTAATTTATCACGCGGTGCAATCTTTCGAACATCCCTCATTATTATAGCGACACGCTAATTTTCTTGGAATTTTTGATTGCCGAAAAAAAGATCTCCTGATCTCGGCAGACCAGGCAGCGACCTGGATTTGAAATTACTGTGATTATATAATTGTAATCTACAGTCGCAATAATCCATAGTAGATTTGGTAGAATATTTCTGAATTTCGATATCTTTGGACCATTGAATACTTTTCTAGAAACATTATGTATCCTGTACACATTTTCTCGATAACGAAAAATGTTTAAACGTTTGTAAAAAAATTATCTTCATTCCAGGACACTCGACGAGCTCCGGGTTTTCCCTATCGATGACGACGGTGAATGTCTGCCAAGGATATGCGCCAGAAGATGAACAAGATCTCTTCAACAGAAAATTGAATCGCCCAGCATGTCGAGTATTTTCCGCAAGAAGTAAACTCCCCTTTGTGTCTTATAGCAAGAAATTCTGTGTGAAAAAATCGAGTATCACGTCGGCAAGAGATTCGCGAGTGCAAGCACAAAAAATTGTTGTTAGGCATAAATGTATAATGTTGTTTCAACGAATGTTAACTTATTTTTTTATCGCGCTAGCTCTATGAGTGACGTGTAAATTATTTTGTTTAAATATTAACACGGTCTGAGGAGTTTAGAGATGAGAAAAGACGAATGTTTTTTCACGTTTTGTAAAATTCGGATGTCCATTGTGTCTGCACTCTCGCAGCGTTTGGAATTTTCTCACTTTCTCATGATCCTCTTTAGGTAAAAGAAAAGAAAAAGAGTAAATTCAAAACGCCACGATTAACAGTAATTAATGTTTAATTTCGAAGTCTGTCACTTTACATAGTAATAAACAAACGTCATAGATCATATATCATATCAAATTGTATATCGCATATCCGCATATACATATATATATAATACACAAGTGTTTTCCTCGTAGAATAATTTACAAAATCAGACTGTCTAGAAATACAGTTGCGTCCTGTTCCTGCTCGGTTCTGTTTTCCGTTATTTTTTTCTTTCTTTTTTTATATAATCACAGCTTATCCTGATACGTAAAAAAAACATTGCTATTGTATTTTCCTTTTTCCGTTCGATAATTAATCGACACAATCAGAGAGTTTCTCTGAGACATTCGTAAACTGCGATATGAGAATTAAGGTTTCTCTGGGATATTCGTAAACTGCGTCGTAGTGAAATGCTGGGCCAGAGATTCTGGAATATTTATCACAGTAGGTTGCGCCGGAAGTATAAGCTGAAATAAATATCAGTGATATATTTGTATGATATTTGTTTTCAGTGAAAGATTAGTTTTTAACATAAATTACAATCCTTGTATAATTTTAATTTAAATATGAAAAATAAATAAAATGCAAACAGCAGGAATAGTTTTTAGTTGTTGAAAAATGTATCCGGCACAAACGCTTTATAGCTTATCTGTAATATATATGTATATTAACTAAAATTTAATTACTAGCTTACCTTGTTCTTAATACTCATTAGGTCATAATCCTGCTCTAGAATCCGTTTTAATGTGCTATCTGTAGCAAGATCATCGCCTGGTTTCATACTGGCTCCAGATTGGCTACCACCACCCACTGTGTTCATCGTTACTCGTTTCACCCATGTAATCAGAACTACTCTCTGTATCCTCTTCTATGTTTACGTCCTATAAATTACAAATGTAATTCTTATAAACTTTTCTTACTTTCGCAATCCTCGGTCTGCAATATCATACGGATAAATTAAATCATGCAGTAAATTAAACCTTTCATAGCGCGGCAACGTTAAGAAAATTACGCCCTCACAACACGATAGTCAATCAGCGTTACACATATATTTCAAGTTATTGCTACTATCTCTTTCTGTTATTAAATTATAAAAGTTCTGAAACGTCCAAAATCAAATTTGTAACTTGAAAATGAAACTTTCTTCTGTATAATAATCAGCGTGTTGGCCTGAACTGCCATCTTCGGAAATTCCGGTCGTAGATGATGCAGCTCGACTGCCACCGCTTCTCGCTCTACGACGAGGTTCTTGATGCTCTGTTTCGTTTCGATTAAGCGCTTTGACATCTTATGGCTTCTCTTTTTGCGTTTGTCCCAAGACAGATTCCAACCCTTACACAATGACAAAATATATTTATATTTCTTTAATGTGTACTTTAATATGATTTGTACAAGATTAAGTAGCTTCGCTAATGCTTTTCTAACTTACTTGGAAGTGCATGAAGTATTCCACTGCTTTTCTACCTCTTAATGACATCAATGACATCAAGCATCTGCAAACAATTTTATAGTTAGTTTAAACTGCGAGTTTCCGTACGATGACAAAATTACTTATATCTACTTGTACATACAATATAAGTTTATTTCTTATATTTCATAAATCTGTAATTTGATGTAATTGTTCAAATACAACTTTAGTAGGTTACCTCTCTACTTTTGCAATCTATATCTCTTTCATATTGCAAGGATACTTTTTACTAAGTTCAGAATTAAATTTGCATTTTACACTTACCTATATTTTTGCACGTGAAATGTAGCCAGGTATTAGGCATAAACAAATCTGACAAATAAATTGAAAATAGGTTAAGCACGTTTCCCGTGTTAATAAACTATAACGTAATGCGTTCCGAAACCACCACATATTCTACGTCTCACCCCCACACTCCGGCAGCTAAACGATATACAGTTTTTCGCTTTTTTTAGCGAAACCGTGATCTAACAAACGTTTTACTTAGTATATTCGGAACTAACAAACGATTCCGCATCGATTGACCACGGTTTGAATCGAAAATTGTAAAGAATTCTATATTTACCGGCTAAATTAACACTAAAAATTATTTTTGTGATTACGTAAAAACTATTAACTAACAAACGTTCTAATTAGTCTAACAATCAATAACAAACGACTAACAATCGATTCGTAAAAAAAAAAATGTCGTAAGTCGAAATTGTCCGGCTAACTTCTATGAGGTAAAGTCGACCGTTACGCGCCAAGCAGTCGATCTTTCGCATCATCAAGATGGCGCTCGAAGGTTCATCGCCAAGCGGGATATACATATACTTCCCCAGTTCTCCGGTTTCTCCCTAAACGCAATATTCGTGTGCTGCTGGCGTTTCAACGGTAGGCGGTAGGCGGTAGGTCGGTAGCGTCAGTGTCAGTGCCGTCAGTCGTCAGTCGCGCGCTTGGCGTCCTCACGAGAGTTTCGTGGTTTGTGTTGTTTTCCACCTTCGAGTTCCGCGGCGTCGGTTGCAACGGAAAAACGAAACACGCAACGCGTCCTTCGCTATTCCCGCAGGATAAACGCAACGTCGTCGGATCTGGCGGCGGTTTTTATGGTCTCGTAACTGGCCGTACGCGTGTGTGCGAACGTGAGTGAGGGAGAACGATAACGGCGTCCATCGGCGCATTCTCCGAGGGGGTGAGTTCCTCGCGTTTTTGTTTCCGCGTTCGTACTTGCGCGCGCGCGAACGCGACTTGCCGATAAGTTCGCGTCGTCGATTTATTAATACGCCACGAATACGGATTTGAGATCGAACTGCAAGATTCAAAGATTTTCGCACAAACGATTGCAATCCGGGTAATATGTCGTGTATACTTTTCTTTTTCCCAGTCTCACGATTCGATTTCGGCTCGCCCTCGCGGAAACGCGAGCGATATTCTTTATCGAAACAAAGAACGGTATAAAGGTGCGATTTCATTGAAACCAGCGGCAGCGTCAAGAAAATGTAGTGGAGGAAGAAGTTCAGACCGTCTCAACTTTTTAGCGTACTTTTTAGCGTCTTCAACGGAAGAAGTTCCGTTGAATTTTGCGGTACGCTAAAAAGTTGAAACGGTCTGAACCTCTTCCCCCACTACATTTTCTTGACGCTGCCGCTGGTTTCTAGCGTCAATGAAATCGCACCTTAACTTGGCGTTCGAATCCAGTTACTCCAGTTTTTGCGTTTTTTTTTTCACTGCATATTTATCGTGCGATCACTGGCGAGAAGAGAAAGCGTACCGGCGATCGCGAAAATGATGCCGTTGCTCGAAATCATGCGGATGGCAGCTAATCTCGGCGTCACCTCACGCTCACCGGCGACACGTTCGGAATCGAGTACCTAGTTCTACGAGATCGAATCCACGTGATCCCGATGTCGCTGTCGAATCAGAACCAGAAACCAGCGCGGAAATCTCGCAATTAATTCGCGTGATTAACGTCGAGAAGATAATATCGCAATCGCTCCGGAAGAACGCTCAAACTGATTGTTAGAATGTCAAAACTTTTTGCAGCATTATCATCATCATACTTGAGCATCCTATACATATACTGCCTCTCTCTCAAAAGTTCGAGAGAGATCATGTACAAAATTTAAAAATATTTCAATGAGACGTTACTTAAAAGTCCGATTTATGTCTTACTCAATATCTTTTCTTAATTTCTTTTAAAAGTAAATTATATTTAGCACAGTTAACATAGCATTGTTTAATTTTAAGAAAATTAATTACGGTCGTAAAACCTTTTTTCCAAAACTAAACCGTGAACTATTTTGAAAGATGGATAGAAGAGAATCTTTTGTCAGAAAAAATAAATAAATTTATAGCTAAATTACCTAGATTGGTAAAAAAGAGATTAAATGTAAGAGTAGTTACTTTGACGAAAATAGTCTCTGATACTCTTTTCATCTTGTAAAAAAATATTTTTTTTGTAAAACTTTCAAATATTTTATATTATTTTTTATTTAATTATAGAACAATGAATAAAATTATAAAAATGTGTTAAATTATAATGCATAAGTTTGATTTTATTTCATATAGTAGACATTTTCAATTAATAGTTTTAAACTTTGAGCCAGCAGTGTAATTATTTTGATGGCCAAACAAAATTATTTTAATATCTGTATTTAATTATAAATTTTTAAATACTTCAAAATTGTTCTTTCCGTATTAGATGGATTTGTACAAAAGAAAGATTCTCCTCGCGTCGTCAAGATTTTGCAGAGGTCTAGTCATCGGCGCGTTGAAATCGCAGCAGGAAAAACGAATCTTCTATTGTAGTGCACGACCCTTCCTTTCAGTTTCTAGCTCATTCAGACGGTGAATGAACTAGTCGTCACGCTGGTCGTGTCGTTCTAAACGCATTTCCACGAAAGAACGAAGCGTCTATATTGACTATTAAAAAAAAAATAGACCATGTTTTCACATTTACTGATTATTGCACTTTATATTTAGCTTTACCTAATTATTTCCACCCTGACCGTATCATGTCATGTTTGCTTTCACGCTTATATAAAGCCGAAAGTAAAAGAGGTCCGCATAATACGTAATAATATTTTCTGTGTTAAACTGTCTATTCTTCGATTAAAAAGGTAGTTAACTCCTTCGCTTCTTTCCTTCACTTTCTTTGAGATGAAGGAGTTTTCTTCAAACAGGGTATCTACACAGAAAAAAAAGAAATATCAAATCAACATTGATATATTTATATATACGCAAGAATATATAATCTTCTTATAAGCATTTCAACTTTTTATTTCGACTTTTTTTCTTGATTGAACTATATAAAACTTCGTTTACCCATCATTTAACTATAAATGACTTCATTCAATCAAGTTTTCTTCATTTAATGCAATATAATCTCATTTCTTGATTTATATATTCTTGTACGTGTTGATTTAACACTTCTTTTTTTCTGTGTATTTTTTTTAATATTAAAAACCTGGATTTTTTATCTAATAAGATCAAAAAATTTTCAGAGAAATTTTTCGGAGTCTTGGAAATTTTTCATCGATATTATCCGCTCCAAATACTTTATTTTTTTCTACGAGAATATCAGAATGTTATATTTTAGTTCAAATTAGCTTTATTCGAGATTTTAGATAAGTTTTATTTTGTGTTTCTTTAATTTTTACTGACACTTTTTTATATGTATTTACAACAGATTTGAAATTCTTATTACATTTCTTGTAAATAAAAGAGTGAAGTTAACACACAATGTAAATACCTATTTTATGAAAATTTTCACTTCTTTTCAATCAACTTTCACAAATATAATATTTGAAATGAGTAATCTTTCAAAAGTATTAAATTAAATAGTGAAAAAAGTACTTTCATTATTTGAGCATTAAAAATCACAGATAATATTATTCGATATTTTTCCTAAAAGTGGCGATATTGTACAATCTTAACATTGCACGAAAATCCGAAAGAAAAATTGTACGGAGCTAATAAAAGTCACAAACATATATTTTATACGTACTGATGTGTAAAAATGTAATGTTGAACGATTGTTAATGAAAGATGCAAAATATACTAGAATAGTCAGACAAATAGAGGTAGTCGATGCTAAATTAATTTTCAAAGTTAAAATTCGAGAATTGAAAAGAAGGATTGTTCTCTCAAGATCTGTGTTCTCGTGCAATACGGGTATTATGAAATTTTCTTGCGTCGAGCAACCAAACTCAAAATGACGACAGGTCAACGTCGCGGTTTAGCGTCGCCACGACCATCAGACGTAAACCGATCGATCGTGTGGCATCGGTCTTCGAACTAGTAGATAGTCGGTGCATATGATATTATGCATTTCTTCGTTCTGTGCAGTAGAAATAGTCACGAATTTGCATAATTCTTTCATTACAAACGCGAAACCTGTGCAACGCTTTTTGCTTATAACAATTTATACATATATATACATATATAATATTTATTTTTTGTGATATTTAGGAAGATAAAAATTTAAATAAAATTTGTGGTTTATTTTGAATAAATTTTCTAAGGCAGAAATATACTCTATTATATACAATATATAATCTTTTTTATAATACGCACATATAATTGCTTTTATACATAACATTACTAACATTTTGTTACAGAATTATTTTGTAATATAGATAATAAATAAAATAATACTTTCTCTGCTTTAAAAAATTGATTAGAAATAGACGAGCGTTAAATGTCATTAAAATCCTTATCTTTCTAAATATTCATCTCAAGTTTAACGTTTATGGATGTTCTCTTTCTGAAAATTTAATTGCGGTCCTGATGTGTTACGACGATAAAGTAATTCTTCAACCAGCCGCGGTAAATTAAATTAAATTTGGTAGATCGGGATAGCACGCTAAATCATTTAAACGACTATACTCTGCAGTGACCGTATAGCGTTTCGTAGATTGTTTGATGCACGCACGATTATAAATCACGGTAATGCATTATACATCGAACGTGGCCGCTCCTTCGATGGGAGTGCAATCATCGGGATTTTGCATACATAACTGTCTTTGACAATTTATCAAACCTCATCAAGAGGTAAATTTCAAGTATTATAAAAATTGATGACTACGAGAAAATTGTTTTATAAACAAGTAAAGTGTGCAAGTAGAAACCTGCACATTGCTTCCTCATAGTTTTTAAGTATGCAAGTAGAAACCTTTGCTCACAAAGCTTCCTCTATTTGTTTTGGCTTCCTCATAGAGGAAACTTTGTGAGCAAAGGTTTCTACTTGCAAAAAACTCCAGAACTAATCAACCAAATCTTAACGAATTATATATGAAATAGGAGTAGAAAAGACTGAAAAATATAATAAAATTAGAAATAGATCGATATCTCCAAATTTGCGGAAATTAAAGCATAAACAAACATTTCTGCAAAAATTCAAAATTTTATTAAAAAAGAACCCCTTAATTATTAGCAATTTTTATTAATTCTATATATTTTTCAGTTTTTTCTACCCCTATTTCATATATAATTCGTTAAGATTTGGTTGATTAGTTCTGGAGTTATAGAAATTTCGGTAAATTTGGCACATACATACACACATACACACATACCGACATTTTTTAAAATAGCGATTTTTCGACGTTTTAGAACATTCTGAACACATTGGCAAAAGCAACTGAAAAAAAAATTTTTTTTACGAAAACAAAGCTTCCTCTATGAGGAAGCAAAAAGAACTACTCTCAATGAGATTGCGTTTTTGGTTTTATCGTTTGTTGATGCGAACAAAAATTCGGCAAAAGAGCGATGTTTCTCTCGCGAAACTCCATTTTCGTGTGTGCTTATACGCTCCATAGTGTCATGTTTCAAGGCAAGACATATCGATTTGCCATAAAAGTATAAATATCGAGATAAACAAGCCGATCGAAGTAGTCAGTAGAATGTTCTGCGCCACGCGAACTAAAGAATTCTTGTTGGGAAATGTTGAATAAAATATTATCAGCTTGAGGAAACTTTATTCGCGCATTATATTACAAGAAATTTGATAATACTTTGGAGAGATTCGCATAAAGACTTGTAATGTAATAACTTGGCGCTGTACTTCAGAGCATGCCTCAAAATAGTGAATAAAGATAAGAAATTATCGTCCACTGCCGCGCGTAGCAAGTGATATAGCTGTTGAATGGCAATTGAATGCGATTAGTGCACCGAATGTTCCAAACATTCGGAAGAAGTAGACGGTCCTCCAGTCACGGACTCTTCATTGAATTTAAAAACGATTCTCTCTCGGCGACAAAGTTCCGACGTGTGGCCGTCATAGTATGTTCATCTTCAACATTAGTAGCAAGCTAGAGTGTCTCGACAGCGCGTCAAATTAAATTCGCGATAAGATGTATGCGCCCAACCCTTAGTTAAACGCGGATTTTCTTCATTCTTAATTTCAGGAGTAGAGAATGAGTCAGGCGGATCAGGACAAAAGCATGGACAAAAAGGAGATTGCCGAAGAGGAGAAAGAGAAGATGCTGAACGCCGAGAATACGAAGCACACCGGCGCCGCACCTGCGTCCGATCTCGAATCCGAGGAACAGAAACCGAAGAAGAAGATACCAATCGGCGGCATCAAGATGCCCGGATTCTGCCGTACGAAGAGCAAGGAGCCGTGCAAGGTAACACTATGATATTTTATCTGAACCGTTATTTCCCGCGCGGCGCGGCGTGTCAAATCCTATCTGGACGTGAGACGAACCGCGGTTACGACATTCCGACGTTGAGTCGGTATTGGATGCGCTCCTCGTTCTACCCTCGCACTTCCTATCCTATATGTTGATTTTCGTATTTTTCTCACGTAAGAATCGCACATGCCTCGCAAGTACAGCAGGTGTAGAAAGCGCGGCGTTAATAGACCTATTGTTTAGCGATTGTATCACTTTCTGCTCCTACGTCATCGGCGCTCGCGCGGATAATTGTGACTGCTATCGCATTTCAAATCTGCGAGACGATCGCGAAAAGGTCATAAGAATGCCAGGTAATACTGCACGCAGACATTTAAATAATACAACGCGGAATTGAATGTACATATGAACGAATTTATGTGAGTCTCTGGAGAAATTTACTCTAATAGAGTCTCTCGCGATCGTCGCAACATTTGGTTAGCGAGGCTAATATTTTCCAAGAGTAAATATTTTGCAGATCATTAACGACCCGTTTTATCTCTCTTCGCCTAATTGACTCGCCGGGAGAGTCAGGGAGTAATCGAGTCGCGATAAGATCAAACTCGGCCGTTCCTAGGCCCTTTTCTTCCGTTTGTCATTTTTATTATTGTCGTGAAGCCTCTAATCGATACCAGGTGCGACGGTTAACGTCTTGCTTTCCCTCTCTTCTTTAACGCGATAGAAAAAAAATCGTTACGGGCCTGCGAACACCCCTCTTGGCGCGCACCATGGGGGCTTTACCTACGAAGTGGTTTTTTTTTTTAAGCGAATTACCTCATCTTCGCGAACAAGGCTCTATGATAACACTGGGATAAACAAAGGACGCCAGTCGCATTGAAGATTTCACGCCCAAACAGCTATTCTAAATTTTAAGGAACTGTAACTTTATGTACATGAGACATGTATAACTTTATATACATATGTATATCAGCGAAAAAGAGGAACATGGTCGCGTAATACCGCAGATAAAGCAATAACGCGGACTTGCGCTATACATAGGTACGCAACCGTCGCGAGATAATCCGCAAAATAAACCGTAACAACGATGCAGGGTGTATAGAATCCGGTCATGTCTGTCGTGCTTTCCGCTAATTAAATACGAAGATCTCGTATTTGCAGAATTTATACGCTCGAGAGAATGCGAGTGAGTCTCACCGTTTTCATCGCACGCTCACGGTTTTTGCTGTCCGTTATTTTCTTATTTTCACCATCAGCGTTGCATCGCCGTGAAACAAACTCCGTAGGTAGCGCAAATCTAAATAATGACGACGTCTCCGACGAGAGAGGACGTTTCCGATCTTACGCGAATAATTACGCTTTTATCAGTTAGTGCGTAGCGATTTAATTATTTCCGTTGACGATAATATAACGTCAGAAGAGAAATTGCTTGTGCAAATCTGCGACTTGCGTCGCTTCCGTCAATCGTAACTTTGATCTCTGCGTCACGGTGCGATTAGGAGCGAAAAGCAATGGAGGTGATTCGCATCATTCGCATGTAAAGATATTATGTAGCATCATTGAGAGAGCAAACAATTGCCTCTTCTTTTCTTTGCTTCTTTCTCCGCATCGTCATCGTCCAACTGGCGATATTGCATCTGGACTAAAAACACACGGCGACAACGATGACCAAGAAGACGCAGTGGCGTGTCGGCGCCTGGTGCTGTTGCAGCTGACTTTTCTCTAATTGATTTAATTCGCCTTATTAGTCACCTAATTGAAAAAGAAAGTGTCGGCTGTCACCTTGTTCTAGAAATCATTCTTTCATCGCCCTGCGGCCTTTCTCATCGCCTCTGTCCATGTACCGTATTGAGATTTATGGCCCCCCTTTTGAGACGATCGTTGTCGTGTGACACACTTTGCAACCCAAACGGATCTTTACATCCGGTACTGTTTCAATTCTCAATCTGTAATGTCGATCTGTGTAGCCGCTTCTTCTTCCATCCCTATTGTTACACGATCTTATTTACGAGCACTCGCCTAATACGAAATTAAAATGTTCCTCGACCGCGATGGCATTACGAACTCCTCTATTTTTGTAAGATAGAAGGATAGTAGATAAAGAAAAGGAACCAACAATGTTGTGAGACCATAGACCTTATAGACATGGACTGGCAATTATCTTATAGTTTCTGTATTAGAAGTAGTGTCCGGCGGAGGAAATTAGATAGAGAAACATACTTTGCAGTACTTCTCTCTCTTCAAGTGTCCGGAAATACGGAGAGAGAAAAATATTTCAGTACTTCTCTCTTTTTCTTTCTCCGTATTTTCGGTTCGGACACTTTAAGAGAGAAAAGTACTAAAAAGCATGTTTTTCTCTCTAACTTCCTCCGGATAAGTTCTGCTATGTATTACCAGCCCATATCTATAAAGCTATGAGACGATGAGCCAGCAATGCAGAATTAATCTATCTGTCTCAAGCATCATTGCGATTCACTTACCTAATCTTAATGTTTTTCGATAGCCGAGGCAAGTTTTCTCGGAAAAAATTTATGCATTTTTTTCATCTCTCGATCCCTCAAATGCCAGGAACGTGAATAACGGACAGCAATATCGATCGAGACTATCGAGAGTCAATTTCCATGTTATACAATCGGAAGAAATATTGCGGCCCCGGAGCCGCGAGTACATTCCTCACGTATTTCCACGTTCATTTGAAATACTCCGCGATCGCAGATGCGTGAACGCACTTGAAATTTATGCCGCGCGTCGTTTCTGAGACCATTACGGATCACCGAACTTCACTGCAGCGTGAAGCATCTGCCATGTGGAGGAAATATGGAAAACCGGGGTGACAAAGAAAAATTGCAATGTAGTAGAATCGCTTCTCCCGCAAATGGCGAAAAGATTTCCCCAGTACTTTCGCATTTGTAGAATATTTATCCATTTGAAAAAGCCATTATTACTATCCAGTTACTTATACCCAAACAAACGTCGCCCAAACTGACCAGTATCTATCCAGTAAAAATAGCTATACTGTAAAAATACTGGCTAGTAACTAGAATTCCTGATTTTTTTTCTACCACGATTGTTTGTCTATGTCCTACCACGTCTAAATTAACTTAAATAAGAGAAAAAAGAAAAGAAACAGCTTAATCATGTTCAATGTTGCAGCATCTCGTTGCAGCCAATCAGATCGTAACACATCCATTACATGGTGCTCAATCTTCCTTCTATTGGTAGCGTTGTAAAGATACATAATATGCATCCGGTTACGTTCGAAGTGGGTTTTCTTTCAGTAACGACTCGGGAACGAGTTCTTGGTCTCGGAATCGAAGTATATGTATATTGAACACGCGGAAACGGCGGTCACTGCGTTCCTCTGGACTAACATCGGTGTCTGACTAATATCGGTCTAACGTGAGTCATTACTGAGAAAGCGTTCACGGCGCCATCGGAACGAACGCGAACGACTTCTAGCGTCAAGAGGTGAAATCGGCAAGAGATTATTCCTGTAGATTGTAGAGGATACGAAGGTTTTGAGTACACAAACGTGGCTAGATGCCACGAAAGCTGACGCCGAGCCCGGTAGTAACGCTAAAGTCGCGTACGTATGTTGGCAGAAACGAAAATATTATTCTTGATTCCTCGTAATTCTTTATTCCGACATCCTTTCGCTTCCCTCTTTTTAACGGCTCGTAAATCGCGGACGGAACGCGGCGAGGGCTTTGTATAAACGTAGGCCGTGGCTAGAAGCCAATTGGTATCGCTCTTCTTGTGGACACAGCTTCAAGCCATAACTATCTCCTGTCGGCGATGAATGCGAAACGGCGAATAAAAGAAGTAAGCAGTTTGTTGCTCGGATTGATACCCGGCACATGTAGAGCTCGTGAAAGAGTTTTGAATGGAAGAACCATTGAAAAATATTATCCCTTTATTTTGTCGCTGCTATTCTGTCTAACAAGATTGGACTTCGGAGCTTCCAATATTTTGAAATTTAAGTAAAATGTTTCTCATATATATATATATATATAAGGGTGGCAATATTTTTGGGTCAAAAATTTGATTTTAAGTCTCACCCCTTAAATTTGTTCTACTAACTCTTAAATGAAGACCCTTGAAGAGCAGGCGCTGTAACTTAATATTTAGAGGTCGCTTAAAGCCTTTAAACATTGAATTTTTTCGAAAAAGTGATAAAAAAACTAAATTTTTCATTCATTTTCACTGTTAAATCTCTTTTAGTTACCTTATTAAAGTACCTGGCCATCAAATTTGAGGTACAACACATGAAACAAAAATGTAAATATAATTATATTATTACATTTTATTGTAAATATAAGTAATTAATGCAATCTTTGGCATAAAATCGTCTATAGCAAATATAAAATGATTTAATGAATTTAACCATTTTTTAACCATCCATGGCTTATAATCTTGTTTTGTAAGTAAATATATCAACCGCCACTTTAGAAAAACATTCTATCATCTTCAAACTAAAGCCTCTCTAAAGTTATATGCTGTAGCTTAAAAATTAATGGTCGTTAATTGCTTCAAAATATTGCTATTTTATTAAATAGTGCACTTAATGTAATTTTCTACATTGAATCCTTTTATTATTTTGGAAAATAAATTATATTATTAATATATTATTTAAATTAAGTCTACGTTTCCCATAGGAAGTTTTCGTTCATCGCATTTATCAGATTTCATATATAGTTTACGCTGTAGATGATTGTTTTAATAAATTTTGTATGTATGTACAGACGGCGTCATTAATTCTTTCCTAGCTGTATTCTGGGGATTTCTATAGTGCACGTTACATGTACTATGCCTTCAAGTGGAAGACTTTAATGACGCCGTCTGTACAGTCGGCTACTAAAAAAAAAGGTTGCAATACATGAAATCAGCCACGTATTAGACCTCTTCTTCTTCCTTGAGTAATGGCTTCTAAGGAAGAAGAAGAGGTCCGATACGCGGCCAATGTCTTGCAACCTTTTAGGCTGCGTTCGGAAACT